GTAGTAGTAGTAGTAGTAGTAGTAGTAGTATAGTAATAGTAGTAGTAGTAATAGTAGTAGTAGTAGTAGTGTAGTAGTAGTTCTAAGCAGTAGTTGTAGTAGTATAAGTTGTAGTAGAAGCAGTAGCAGGGTATATGCAGGAATCCTGAAGTCAAATGTAATTCCTTTTAAGACCTTTTTTAAGACCCTTTCCATACATTTTAAGACCTCATCTCCACTTTGAGTTCTAACCGGTTACCTTGGCGACACACTTTACCTCACATTGACTATATACAGTATTGATTGTCCTTCCTCCTTATCTTCCAACCATTTGGACGCAGACTTGCATTTCCCCATAACGATTGTTTAAACAACCGGCATAAACGGACCTCGCGCGCTATCAAGCAGTGAGCGTGCGATGTCCGTTCAGATGACGTCAAATCCAACGGGATGCCATCAATAAACTACACAGAATCACACTACACACCTACGCCATGATTACATTCAGGCAGACTGTAGAATACAACCTCTTTGGACCATTTATATACTTATTGAAAACAAGCTACAACATTTAATACCTTGGAAAATGCCCTTTATTACTAGACCCCGGGGACACCCTGCTTGTCCTTACAGGTCTTGAACAGTGAGAAACATTACAATGAAGTGTTCAGACGTCTCACACCTTCATACTGATCCTCTGTCGTAGTTGTATGTGTTGCAGCAGGCAGGAATAATAAAGATAGATAATGAGTTGGAACTGTTGCAGTAATAGTGGAATGCCTTTGCTTTGGCAAGGATCCCTTAAGATTAGTCATGCTATAGCATTTTAATATCACTGCTGAGATAAGGAGGAAGATATCAGAACAGCAAACAATGAAAGGTGCAAGGCAAAGGAGAACAAAGAGAAGGGATTTTACTTTAGTCTGCACTCCCTTTCCCTTGTAATAAATATTAAACGCAGATTAATTTAGCAGCTCTTAAAGTGTGAGAGTGTTGCTACTTAAACACCTACACTTTACAGGGTAAAGCTTTATATTATGCGTTTTAAATGTTACGGTTTTTAACTAAATTGCATGTGTTTGGGAAATACTGAGCACACACTAGGGGTGCAGCAACTAATCGATTAAAATCGATGACCAAATTAGTTGCCAACTAAATCAGTCGTCGATCCATTGGTGACGTCATCACGTGTGTTTCACAGGCAGTTCAGCTCCAACGTTATCCGTCTTTTTATCGATACAGGAGACATTTAAAACATGTCGTATGTGTTATTGCTACATAAACATTATCTCGCAGTCTTGCTGTCGCCAACTCCGTTTCCAATATGCAAAAAGACTGCAAGATGCTTCTATGATGTATTTTCGATCTTTCCAATCCAGACGAGAGATCTCTCTCCCGTCTGTGTGCGAGGGGGCGGGGCAGTTTACACACACGCAGCTGCTACATGCAGCAACACACACACACGGAGGAGATGGCGGAGAGAAGCGCTCCGAGGTGGTTAAACTTTACCCGTCTCCATGCGGACAATGCTCGTTGCCTAAAGTGCAATAAGAGTTTAGCGTAAGGGCGGTAACACGAGCAATGTGTCTAAACATTTAGCAAAAGTGCTCCACATCCAGACGGAGGAATGCACCGGGTTCGACTGTCTTTCTAGCAGCTCTGTAGCCCCATCCACGAGGAACGTTTCCACGTCAGGTGTTATGTATGCTAGCAGCAACACACGCAGTTAACTACATTATACAAACATGGGTTAATGATTAGAGGAAACTGAGGTATTTATTTTGTTAAAGTTTCAGCTATTCTGTTTACAGTCTGTCATCAGATTATTTAATACGATTTGTTAAAACATTGTTGTTTCTTTTGATGTGAAATATTATTTATTTTATTTAAATAAAAAGCAATGTTAGTTTTGTTCACAATGTGTTTAGTTAATTTACCTTCTTTCTCTCCGAAAGAACCGATAAGAGTACCGTTAAAAGACCGGATCGATAAGCGGTATCGATACAAGTAGTAGTACCGTAAAACCTTAACGATCCGAATAATCGATTACTCGTTTCATTAATCGATGATCAAATTAGTCGTTTGTTGCAGCCCTAGCACACACCTGGATAAACAACATTAGAAAATACTGCAGCTGTCTTGAGGTTGCAAATCAATGTTTTAATAGTCTGGTTGTGTTCAACTACATGTAGAGGGGATATGGATGAAAAATCATTGCTACTTTATGGGGGTGACGTGTAAATGTAACAGAAATCGTCCTTTTGTGGGGAAATGTGTATTTATATATTAATACAGACTATTGATGGAAGCAGGAGGGCAGAAAGTATAGCTTATAAGAAATTAAATTGCCCGTAAGTCATCCAATGTCAATGTTTTTGGACAAGAACGTCAAATATCGTGGCATAGTAACAACAAACTTGAGTTTCAGATATATTAAAGTTCCCTATTATCAACTCCAACTTCCTGATTTCTGAACGTATAGAAATACACTTTTAATTGTAAATTGTTTAGATCGTGTGACGAGTGTATCGTGACATAATTATCTTTACTGGGCCATCATGCCATCTTTCTCTTTCTGAAAGCTAAGCAGAACATTTGTTGTTGAATTCCTGGTTCCACTGATATTCACATGTGAAACAGTTCTGCTGCTCCCAGAGCGCCAGAAGGAAACACACATATGTTTCAGCTGAGGTCATTTAGTCACACTCAGCTCACAGTTAGCATGTTGGCGTCATTCCCTCAGTGTTTAAGTTACTTTGTCATTATGCCAAAGATAAAAAACAATAGATGAAGAAGGAGTGGCAACACAAAGCATCCTGTTAACATCCCTGATAAGCTTTCGAGGGCTCAGAGTTCAGAGAGAAAGTGTGTTTTGGTTTTACCTCGTCGATGTTGCGCAGCCATTTGCTGATGTTTTCGAAGCTCTTGGCGTTGGTGATGTCGTAGACCAGCATGATGCCCATGGCTCCTCTGTAGTAGGAGGTGGTGATGGTGTGGAACCGCTCCTGGCCCGCTGTGTCCCTACACACACACACATTTTATTTATAATTGTGTTCAGTTTTTCTTGTTTTAATTCCAACCTTTATCCCAAACAACAAACGGTTCTGAAAGTCAGATTTCCACTGAATCGTAGCAGAAAATGGCGATAAAATATCTGCAGATTGACAGAAATGCTGCTCCAAGATGCGGTGATTTCTTACTTTCCATGGATACAAATCACATCATACGTCACTAGCAAAGGGAAAAGGTTTTGTTGAAGCCAAAAAACACCACCAACAGTATTTAATAATATGATTTAGTGTACATTACCCTTTATCTGATCTTCTCTGAGTTGTGAACATTTGACTATTATGGTGCCAGTAACATACCATCATAAAGTATCTGTCAAATAAATGATAATGCCTTTTGTTAGGTCTTTGAAAAGAGGCAGATACAAGCTACAGTATTTCAATCCTTAGCACAATTGTGACTGAGCAGTAAAAGTATTGTTAATGCATTGCTGAACTTGGTCAAACTAAATAAAAATTCCTCCGCAGGCTGAGCGTGACCTTCACACACCTGACAACTTTGACATGTTTCTTTCCATGTGACCGTGCCAGTATGTATTCACCGCTGCTGCCACACAGACACGAGAGGAAGCCCAGGAGCAAAGCAAACCATGACGTTGGAAAGAAAAGCTGGCAGTGCGAAAGTTACATTTTATTGAACCGTTTGAGCATTACCACGTCTCTGAGTGTTTAGGCTTTACAGTGAATATTATATCCAGACATAATGTGCCAAGACAGGAAGAGGATAAAGTGTCATGTGGACAGAAAGTGAAACAGAGGTTAAAAGGACTGCGTGGGTCCAAATGTGATCACGTTTCAGGTCATATTACAATCATGTCGGCTTGTGATTTTTATAAGCCTGTAAACTATTTTACAATCTACATTTGGTAAGAGATATCCCTGTGAAATTGTATTTACGTACAGCTCACAGCGGCTACAGAGACTTTTAGGATCAGAACTATTCAGCTCATGGAATAATTTAAAGGTTTCTTGTAAGTAGGGTTGGGAACCGAAACTCGGTTCCAGATGAGAACCGATAAGAAAATGCCGGGTACCGGGTACCCATACAAAATACACAATTTCGGTTCTGCTTAACGGTTCCTAAACGCGGTAGACCCTGTATTCCAGCGGGTCCGTCTGCACCGCGGTGACCCGGTGGAATACAGGGCGGACCTGGAGAATCACAGAACGGCCGGTCGTCAGCGGGCCGTTGACGGCCGGCTCGGTACGCTGACGGCAGGCACCGCCCTTCATTTTTTTTAAACGGCATCATGTAAGTTGCGCTAACAGGCGACAGAGGTCCACAGTTGCCCCGCAGCGATGCTCCCCCGCCCTCCCGTAGACATTTCACGAGCTCAGTCACTTCATAACACCAAAGATAGGTCGCGGTAAACACTCTGAAGTGAGGCTCCACTACACTAAAAAAGAAAAAGAAAAGGCACAGTGTAATGCCTGTTAATAGCTTGCCACAGGCATAGCTCAGTTAAAATAAAGCACAGCTATTGTGCAATACATTTGTATTGCATGTATATTTTTTAGTAACAATTTCAGTTAAAGCTTTTAAGAATAAATATATTTTTGTTATCTAAACGTTTGACCTCTTTATTTTACAATTTTGGAATCGAAACGGGGAATCGATAAGAACCGGAATCGATAAGCAGAACCGGAATCGATACATTTCAAACGATACCCATCCCTACTTGTAAGCTAATATCATATCCAGCTACATTCAATAAGGCAACAATAAATAATGCAAGATTACTAGAAAATCCAAATAATTGTTAACTGCATTCCTATTTGCAATCATACCAAACCTCACTACAGGTTAAATATTAGTAATTTCATTTAAAGAAAATTAGCTGAAGTGGATTTCAATGATAGCTCCCGATGGACGGATGATCATTTCCTGTTGGAGCATATTTCTGGGCTTCAGGGAGGTTAGTCAAACAGCTGTTTCCCTGTCATGTAACAAGGCCAAAACTAAAGAGGTTGAATTCAAAGATGATTAACACAGAACCTTAACTGTGTCCAATAACTCACCAGATCTGTAGTTTAATCTTCTTTCCTTGTAGTTCAACAGTTTTGATCTTGAAATCTATTCCTGTGAACAAAAAAGAAGACCAATCAGCACACATGAATCAGCACACATGAATAAACACATGTAGCGATGACAATGGGTCGTGTGTGAATAGCAGAAATTAGGGTTTTTAAAAACAGACTTTGGCACTAAACCGATAATCATGAAATCACAGACTGTAGGAGGAGAGGGAAATGGAAAGGGTTTCCATCTGGGGGACAAAAACATTATCTCTTCCTGATTCTGCAGCGCCATGCCCACACCTCCAGCCTATATGCAACTGGATAACAATAGTTACACACACACACACATAAAAATCAGGTTAACACCGAAACTAGGGATGCTCCGATCGATATCGGCCGATACTCACTCTCTGCCGATCGATCGGGGCTCTCTAAAAATGCCGATCGCGAGAGCTGATCGCATGACGTAAAATGATGACGTAAAATACATGACACTTTTCTCTGTGCGCGGCAAAACAAGCTCGCCAAAATGGCTTCACCGGTCTGGCAGTATTTTAAGGTGTCGGAAAATGACAATAAAATAGCGGTATGCAACGTGTGTGAAGCAGAAATCCTGCAGCTCTGTCCGCTGTGACGGACCGGTGAGCGGAGCAACACACACACACTTAGCTATTTGATCTACCTCTGGAACTAAACTAGTTATACATATATTCTTCACTGTCGGGTCACTCATTACTGGATCAGCGAGCTGCATGAGATACTGACGGGCTGCCAGGAGAGAGAGAGAGAGAGAGAGAGAGAGAGAGAGAGAGAGAGAGAGAGAGACAGAGAGAGAGAGAGAGAGAGAGAGATTTCTCCCGTGTTATTCTCCAAAGTTAATGTAAACTTGAATAATGTACTTCATTTGAATGTAATAATTATGTTGGTTGTTGTTTGTGGAAGCTCCAGTGAATGAGCCCCATTAGCTGAGTTTTAAACATCACTTTAAATGGAAGATCCCCATAGGCCCCGCCCACTCGATCGGAGCGGCCGATACTGATTCCAGCGATCAGCCCCAAAATTGGTGACCGGAGCATCCCTAGCCGAGACAGCGACCATGTGTTTGCATGTAACACAGAAACCGTGTTACTGTAAAACCTGTACTAAGATTATTTTGGTTAGATTCGCAGTATTTTGTATATTTTAAGCGTTTTAATTTACTTTTATTTTTGGTTGAAGTGTTGCTAGTAAGAGGACAGGGAGCAGTTTTGTCTACGTGTGCATGTTTTTTTAATGTGGAAACTCATTTCCCTTTCCATTTGGGCTGGATTATTTAACGCTTTGCTGCATTTCCTTTTATAAAGCTGACTGCCATCAGGTCTTTCTTGGCAAACTGGTTCATATTGCAACCTACTTGTTATCTATTAACTTTGGGAGTAGATGTGGCCTATCAAATAATAAGTGCCGTGAAGACGTCACTTTGGGCTCAAGACAAATTGTGATGTGCTTGTATGAAAGATTTACGGCTACTCCTTAGATTAATCTGCAGATGTATTTTTTGACAAATTCATTAATCCCAGTTTCCCAGAGCCATAAATGATATTTTCAAAATGCTGGTTTTGCAAAACAACAGTCCAAAAGCCTAATATATTCAGTTTACTATCATAAAGTCCAAAGAAAAGCCTCATTCGAAAAGCTGGTCGCAGTAAATGCTCGAAAGTAACGTAAGTGGGAAATGATCAAAACACTTAAAAAACGATCATTATTTGTAACCTTAGAAAAGACTCCTAACTTCTAGTTGCAGCTAAAAAGTTAAATTACAAGGTGAAAAAGCAAAGTGCACACAAACTGTTGAATTATCGTGATCATAATATTTAGCCAGCTTTAGTTGGATTATAGTCTTTGTCACGATTGTAGAGCTCTAGAGGAAGCTAAATTCAAACCAGTGATTCACGACCGTTTGAACTTGATGGCCAAGAGTTTCCCAGTTAAATGGTGAGCTTTCAGTTCAGCTCTTTTCAGAGATTGTGGTCGGTTAAAAAGTCCCAAGAAACAGCTGTTCTCTAGGTGGAGCAGGTCCATACGATAATGAAGGAAGTGGCTGCCAATGAGTGACTCACTAAATAATATGCACTCCCCAGAGAGAGGGAGGAAGGACAGAAGGATATCAAATCAAAAAGTAGAGAAAGATTTCTGCAGATCGGACACAACTCACTATGCTGACATTTATATCTGACCTCAAACTCTAACACGAGCAATTCACAAGTCATGTAAAATGGGTAGGGCTGAACGATATATCGTGTCATGGCGATATTCACATCGCAGGGACGTGCGATTTTATTCATTTTCTTTTTTTAGGACGTTCGATATTAAGTAGGTAAATTAACTCAAACACGTCATGTTACAATTATTTTGCTGCTTGCTACAAAAGGAAAACGTGTGCGGCTCTCATGTCAGGGGTACTTGAGTGAGTGACACAGCAAACCACCAATCACAATCATTCTCCATCAGATCACAGCAGGCCCCGCCCCGCTACTTTGCAGACCATCAAAACACCGGTACAAAATGAGCGAGGCACAGGAGGACAATACCGAAGAGAATTAAGATTTACTTCCAAAAAGAAAAGCAACATCTGGAACTATTTGGATACAAAAAGGTTCTTCTCTTCTTCATTCACAGATGAACCCCCTTATTTGAGGGTAAGCAACATGCATTATCATGACATGTTGGATCATGACTTAAGGTATGATGAGTCAACCAGTTAAGATCCAGACGTCCGTGACTAAAATCCTTCATCCGGTTAAATATAGTTAAAAAAAACGCTATATATATATCGCAGGGGAAGAAAATATCGCAATGTCAGTTTTTTTCAATATCGTGCAGCCCTAAAAAGAGGTAAGTGGTCTTGACAGATGTACTAAAAGTTCCAAAAAATCAAGCTCAGCAGGGATTGACGTAATGTTTAGGTCTTCTGATCAAGGAGTGAAACGATTCTTCCTCCCAGTGAGGTGCACTGGCAAGTTCACAAGAAAAGATGTACATTGTGCAATCCCATGTTTACCCAATCACTGGAAAGACGGGCATTCTTCAACTGAAGCGAATGACAATCCACTTGGACGTCTTAAACAGAGAATGCATGGTTTATGGTTGGCTCTCTTCTTTTTTTTTTATCCCGGAGGAACCATTCCTTCCCCAAGTCTGAATTCCACTGCAGCGATCGCCAGTTTCCATGCTAAATTAATCATGTGTTGTGAAAGGAGATTTCAGATCGCAACCTCATACATATTCCGCACTCTTAATGTGCAATAATAACCTTAAATAAACAAGGAGCAAGGGCAGCGAGGGATTGGAAATAAGGATGATGAGTGAGAGGGGTTTTCCAGCGGGGGTATTTTGAGAAGCAGCTGTGCATCTGTGTCTCCAAAGGTATGAGTACTGTGTCAGAAGAAGACCACACTCCTGTTTCACATGACGTCCTGGTTCTGCTCAGCAAAGTTCTGGCTCTGATAACACTTTCCAGTTCGGACACGAAGGGCTGCAACAGATTTATGTAGAAGGGCTTTTCAAAAAAAGGAAGGGAGGCAGAGTCTTTGCAAACTTCGGACTGTACATTTTGTACTTTCTGCAATACAGTGCATTAACTTAAAGGTCCCATGTCATGGCCATTTCCACTGATCATAATTCCATTGTTGAGGTCTACTAGAATAGATTTATAATGTTCAATGTTCCAAACTCACATTGTTTTTCATACAGCATCTCTGTGAACTACGTGTATTCACTCTCTCCACTAAACGGCTCGTTGCAGCTCTTGCCCCCCCCCCTCCCTGTGAGCCCAGTGTGCTCCGATTGGTCGGGACCAGTCGGGACGTTGTGAATCGCGCTGAGCTCCGTGGAGGTGTGATTTCCTTGTTTAGCGATACACAGCGAAACACAGCCAAACTCACCCTGAGCACACACAAAGTCACAGCCGAAGTAAAAACAATAAGTGTGGCTTGATATTGAGAAAGAAAAAGGTTGGTAAACGCTGTGAGAACGGGTCTGCAGAGAGAACGGGTCTGCAGAGAGAATGGGTCTGCAGAGAGAATGGGTCTGCAGAGAGAATGGGTCTGCAGAGAGAACGGGTCTGCAGAGAGAACGGGTCTGCAGAGAGAACGGGTCTGCAGAGAGAACGGGTCTGCAGAGAGAACGGGTCTGCAGAGAGAACGGGTCTGCAGAGAGAACGGGTCTGTAGAGAGAATGGGTCTGTAGAGAGAACGGGTCTGTAGAGAGAATGGGTCTGTAGAGAGAATGGGTCTGCAGAGAGAACGGGTCTGTAGAGAGAATGGGTCTGTAGAGAGAATGGGTCTGCAGAGAGAACGGGTCTGTAGAGAGAACGGGTCTGTAGAGAGAACGGGTCTGCAGAGAGAACGGGTCTGCAGAGAGAATGGGTCTGCAGAGAGAACGGGTCTGTAGAGAGAACGGGTCTGTAGAGAGAACGGGTCTGCAGAGAGAACGGGTCTGCAGAGAGAACGGGTCTGCAGAGAGAACGGGTCTGCAGAGAGAATGGGTCTTAACGTAACGGCTCCGCGGACGTAACGTAACGGCTCTACGGATTGGCCCATTTCGTTCCGGGGACGACATGACATCATGATGTACCCGGAAGAATCAAATGGACAGTGACGTATCTCCAACGAGGCGTTTTGGGGAGGTATTTTCTGTGTTAGAGTTTTACTCGCTACATGGTGTACTTTGAGGGTTTTGACTGCACACTATTTACATGCATAAAAACCTTCATAACACACAAGGGGACGGGTAATAACCGGAAAAGCATGACACGTCACCCTTAAGTCGTTTGGTGCATCTACTGATCATAAAGTGGTGTCTGCCAAAACATTAACATCGTAGCGAACAAAATACTGGGGGAAAAGGACGTACCCTCTAAGTATATAGCAGCACACACCAAAGGGCTTGTGTTGACATTTGTCCAAAGCTCGAAGAAGTTCATATATGTTGAGGTCACAAGTGCAACTTAACACTGATAATAAGAGCCAGACGAAATGGTTGACCGATAGAAAATTGGTTGATTACACAATTTTTTAAGCACAGAAACTAAAAAAATGTTGAGTATTTGATGCTTTTCTTTGACTTGGTGATAGTCAACAACAGCAATCTGAAGATGTCACCTCAAGGATATAATTAGGAGTATTAGATGATAACAATGAGATGATCAAAGATACTTGGAAGGCATGGTATAATAAAGTACCTCTGAGAATGAGTAATATCACATTATTCTCACTTAGTTCATGTATATTGTTTAAAACCAGTGCTCTCTGACAACCATGATGTGCTGAGAGATTATTATATTTTCCATTTCCTTAACTTCTCATCACGTTGCAGGTTACTTTGTTTTGAATACAAGCTGAGACAGAGGATTATGACTGTGGTAGTTTTTAAAAAGGGGACAACTGTCAGCTCACATCCTGACACCAGGAGAATTATGTTGCCTGAATGTCAGTATTGTGCCAGACTTATCTCCTAGGTCTTAATAATAACAACTTGTTAACTTACGTCAAAGTTAAATGCCCTATGTTTACCAGAGTTTTTGGAAGAACTCAACAAGAAAGAAAGCATGTTTATAATTAACACCTACACAAACATTTTAGAAGGGTCAATAATGTTATCCGTAATTATAGTTTGGCGTTTATTCGAATGTTTTGGGTGTGGATAGAGTTTTTCCGAAACGTAGGTAACAGAAATACCTACAAACACTTACAGGTATTGATACACTTGAAACCAAACTTGGCAGGGAAGTAATGCTGCGAGGAGCAAAGGTCACTAAAGGTCTTTGACTGCAGAACAACCTGTAAATCTGCATCTGACCATGACACACATCTCTCAGAACTGGCAGAAACCCAATGGCTTTAACTATGACTACATCTTGAGAGCATAATAAAACACAAACACTATATGCTGATGACAAAACATCAACATGTGACAGCAAGCTTTGCAACAGAGTGGTTGTTTACTGCTGCACCTTGACACATCTCATCTGGCCTAGATGTTACTGGGAACACTGTTATTATGCAGTCCTGAAAAGTGGTCAACCCTTCAAGTTAAGAAAAGATGGGCTTGAAATTAAAGCTAGTCCAAAAGATTAAGCATATAAAGCCAGTGCATTGCAAACACATCTTATGTTACTCAGCACTGCTCTTAAGCAACAGCAGTAAATGAAACCTTCACTGGGGCCTTGAAGGGATTTGACACAGTTTGACATTTGACTCATGTGAGCGTGATGTCGGAAGCATGCTAGAGTACAGAGAAAGAAAGCTGATTATGCCACCATGGTGAATTGTTTATAGTTCTCTATGGAGCAGTTCTAGAAAAGTATGTTAGAGGTACTTGAGTATTTTTCAGTACCAGTGTCAGCTTCTTCATACTTATTTTCCACTACACATCAGAGGGGAAATATTTACTTTTCAATCCACTACAATTATTTGACATCTACAGTAAGGCTGGCGATGTGTAAAAATAATGTGATCTTCTTAAAGTATTGCCTACATATTAATAAAACATTATCTAAAACAGAGCCATCTTGAAACCAAAAAACTAACCTAATTCACTCATAAAGCATTTTTACTTCTACCTACTTTTGTAATCAGGATTCTTACCAGTAACATAGTAAATGTATATTATGAAATTGCTACTTTCATTTTAGTAAATTGTCTTAACAAGTAATGATCGGTGGTTTTGAGGGACTTTACTTGTGTGTCATATATCATTCTGAACAAAGCTCTAAATATGTGTTGACTTTTTTGGTATGATTCATGACAGGGGGGAAATCCATAGAGTTACCTGTGATTATATTAAGATCTAAACGTCTGTCAGTAATATTGAGATACTGTTTTTGTAACAGTAGCACGGCCCTGCCTGTACTGCTACTCAATGCTAGCCTAGTTAGCTAACTAGCCACTGGGTCAAGTGCCATGACAGCAATTCCTCTGGCACATAAACCGGTTATACTCGGCATTTTTGGCTTGCTAAACAAACATAACAACCATGTTTTGTTATTAAAAGTAGCACAGTTAGCTGGGGGTATAGCTAGGAGCTAATAAAGCGGCACTAGTAGAGGAGAGGCCTGTGTGGAGAGGAGCTAACATGCCGATAGCATTACTGGCTAACCAAATATGTCCAGGAGAAAGTCAGACGAGTCTACCAGCTGTCAGAAGGGGATGGTATGACAATACAAAGTAAACACTGTAGCAACACATCATGCAGTATCTTCTTACCTATGGTGGAGATGAAGGTGGTGTTGAAGGCGTCGTCAGAGAAGCGGAACAGAACACAGGTCTTCCCCACGCCCGAGTCCCCGATCAGAAGCAGCTTGAACAGCAAGTCGTAAGTCTTCTTCGCCATTGAAACACAGCTTGTGATTACCCCAGATAAGATACAAAAAAATATGTATATATTCCCCTAGCACGCTTGTGTGCAGTCTAAAGCCAGCTCCTTAGCCAAACTGTTCTCTTGTTAACAATCTGGGATGTGTTGATTAGCTTGGCAAGCTAGTCGGCTAAATACCACCACCACTAATACCGTGTCCAAGAAGTTATATATATATCCCAAGCCCGACTGTTTTTTCTCCCCCTTTACAGCATGAGAACAGAAACAGAAAAAATAAGGATATCCTTCCGTGTGATTCCTCTTTTCCACTCTTTCTTTTCTCCCACACAGTCGGGACAAAATGGCTCCTCTCTCTCGCTCTACCCCCGACTCACTCCTTCTTCAAACTAACGGCGAGCTAATTCAAATTCTCGGCACACCCCGTCATTACAGAGCTCTGCCACAAGCTCAACCGAGAAGAATTTGAAAAGAAAAATCTCAACGTAAATTCACTGCCTGCTCGGAGTTATTTCGCCCTTTTTTTCTGGAGAGATTACTGCTGAAATATACCATAGACGACCGCCGTCGCCTTCGAATGGGAGCCACCACGGCGACACCCTAGGCCTCCACAGACACGCCTTTCTCCCGCCCCTTCTGTCAAAATCCACGCCTCTGATTGGTCAAGTGTACTGTCATTTAAGCAAGCACTCAAATCTGATTGGGTATCCTTGCTAACATATAGAGATAAAGGGGCGTGTCTTACCCTGACAGAAAGGGCAAATGTTACTGCGTACATTGCGCGGCCATTCAGGCTCAAATAGACCTTCACTTTACTGAATGGAAGGTATACAAGGAGCCAATATGGCGTCCAGTTTCATATGGACCTTTCTTAGCCGGGGTGTGTTTCGGTTTTCTTGATGCGGTGACTATCCCAGCTGTGAGTCAGGCAAAGTGATGTCATATATAAGTACTTGTGTGCTTGTTACGGGCGTTTCCCACATCCTCTGCCCTGTGAACTGTGAGGCAACATGTATCCCCTAAAGTCTCTTTTAATAACTGGAAACACACGGAGAGAGTATCAGCATTTACACCCTTACTTATGTGTGTTCTTTTAATGTGTGTTTGAGTGTGTGTTTCTTTCCTTCTTCCGCCTGTCAGAGTAGTTTGACTCTCAGACACTCCCAAGGAATGTTGAGTATGCCCTGCTTTCTACTGCCGAGTACAGACTTGCCACAAAGTGAGAAAGTAGGGCAAAGAAAGATGTAAAGAAAACAGACAAATAAAAACATATAAAGTAAGGGTAAAGGGAAGATGTTAAAGAGAGAAAGACCTAAAGAAGTATGGGTTATTTTTAATGGAAGAATCCCCATTGCAGTGCCCTTAAGCACAGCTAATCTTCCTGTAGTCCAACACGTATTGCTGTTATTATTATCATGTAGACTTTAATGATCCCACATGCTACCCTAACATTTTCAAAAGTAAACACATTTATGTAAATACATTCAAATTAAACCCAGATTTACCACCTGCAATATTAAAGTGATGAGCACATTATTGCATCAATCATCATAATACATAATGTATAACTGACCATTGTGGAAATTGACTACTTTATGTTTATTATGGTGCTATACTATTGCACTTTTACTTAACTCACATTTGTAATAAATGCCTTTCACCAGTATTTTCTGTGAGATTGCTACTTTTCTCAAGTAAAAAAAATCTCATTTCAAATTATCCAAGTTTAATGAACTTGTTTAAGAGATATTTCAACCAAAGTGGAATTTAACAGCCATGAAGAAAACGAGCAAACAGAACAATCGCTTACCAGCCTATGCCTGAAACAGATGTTACAGAGGTGAAAAAGGTGTGATGCAGCAGTTCTCATTTCTTAGTTTGATCCCTGCTCTGTCCCTTAAGCAATCTTTGTTATGCCAATTAATCAAGTCTTAACATACAAATCCTCCCAGGTCAGGACGCATTCCTGTAATTTGCTGCATGGGGCCCCAGGGTTCATCTCATTCTACATTAAACTAGCACTCAAAGCACTGCAATGGTTATGAACTTTTAAGGAGTATGTTTTCACTTTAACCTGTTTGACAACCAAACCAGATGATCTTATGGTGTTCTTATGAGTTCATTTAGCGTTTTATAAATGGTGGACTGTTAAATGGTGACAGAAAACAAGAGGGAGGGAGAGAGGGAATAACATCTCAGCAGCAGTTCAGTTTTAGATGTGTGTTGATCTCTTGGCCCAATTCTGCTTTTCTTAACAATTTAAATCCATTTTTTTATTTTCAAGAGCTAAAACAAGTTAGTTTTAGTTTCAAGAAAAATGTCAGGCAACATTTGCAGTTATTCCTTTGTCTCACTTCTGCTTTTTTGTCTCTGTTTTGGTGGTTACATCTTTTGTTTTAATTTCTTTTGGTCTGGCTTTTATTATGAAGGTTGTGCAGTCAGGGTTGTATATATTTTTTAAATTCCCCATGTGGGGATTGGTTGTGATTGTGTTGGCTTCGCCTTTCTGGTCAGTGAAGCCAACACAATCATAAAACAATCATATTATTAAAAAGGAAATATTATATGAAAATGGTGGTTGGTTTGAAAGGGAATCCTCCAGAAAACCCCCAAAGTGTTTCCTCCCACACTTATCTCCTGATCAGTTTCCGACCACATGCAGTCCACACTTATGTCGCCAGGCGGTGCTGCTGTGTCATGGTAAAATGGTTAAAAAGTCAATTTTTTACATTTAACCACCATGTCCTCAATCTGTGTCGCTTTGGGAGCCCAGTTGCATAAGAACTGGTGTGTGAGAGCTTCCAAATCTGAGTAATTACCAAGGGGGGCCAGAGATAGGTCAAATCCACCCAGATGACCCCAGAAGTGTTTTTTTGTGTGCTAAATCTCTCTAAAAAGGTCAAATGTCATTTGTTTTGCATCAATCTTGATACAGGGTACTTATTATATGTTGGACTCCTAAAGCTTTTAGTCTACTATCCCATCATTCAAGGGTGGTTTTCACTATAAGTAATGTTTTCTTTTTGGACGGACACAATAATTTTTTTTTTTTTACTATGTTCAATCTGAATTTACTTTAAAATAAAAAAAATCTATATTGATTCTGACTCTTCTACATCCAACTCACAGGTTTATCATTGCTTTGAGAAAAAAAGATTATTAATTTACCCCTTTTAGAAGTGAAGTTATGGTCATTTGTTCTGGGAATGTCATTTTCGAGCCTGATACTTGGAAAACAGGCTCGGGCTTAACAGGTTAAGAGTAACTTGGAGGTTGACTTCAAAATGTTCCTGGGAAGTTTACGTATTACTAAATGTATTAACGTTTCCAGGAAATTAATATTTGAAAAGTTAATGCTGTTTTATATAGGCCTACTTTACAAGAAGTAAGGGCAGAAATTCAGAGGATAGGCCATTTGAGCAATAATCTTAAACAAATGCTCCAATTAAGACCAAAGTTACACCTGTCCCGAGATAGATATTGTAGAACATGTTAAATCAATGTAACCTTGCATATAGAAATCACAGGCAATATACTTGGTTAAAGACAGATAAATATCCATACAAGAGTATAACCTAAATATAAAAGAGGAAATAGAGGAAATTATGTAGTATTTACATGTGGGAAATTAAAAGTTGAATCAATTCAAATCTACACTTATAGGCTATCTATTTCCAACTAAAAAGGGCACACATTTTGTTTTAAACTAACCTTAATATGAAATAAATATCTAAAACTGTGTGGGCATCATCATAGTAGGCTACATTATAATTTATAATGATAAAAAAAGACACATTCTTCAATACTAACACAATGAACAGTGTGTAGCCTTCATATAAGGAGATGGTGGGAGTCTTGGAAAAGGATCAACTCAAAAACGAGACGAAACTCCATTTCCCATAATCCTTTGTTCCACTCCGCAGTGATGTGGGGTGTGGTGTTTGAATTAACGCGTGTGTGTGTGTGTGTGTGTGTGTGTGTGTGTGTGTGTGTGGTTGTGTGTGTGTGTGTGTTGTGTGTGTGTGTGTGTGTGTGTGTGTGTGTGTGTGTGTGTGTGTGTGTGTGTGTGTGTGTGTGTGTGTGGTGTGTGTGTGTGTGTGTGTGTTGTGTGTGTGTGTGTGTGTGTGTGTGTGTGTGTGTGTGTGTGTTTTGGGTACAGGACAGGAGCTCCGTCTCTCTGCACAGTCCGAGCTCGGAGCATCAGCGAGTGGCGGAGAGGATGCGGGACGGCGGTGTGTGTGTAGCGGATCTACCGGGCGTGTAAAAAGCAGGACGACATGAGTGTGACATCTGAACTGAACGCTATTATTGTCGGCATTGTTGGATTTTTTTTTTCACCGAGTGAATCTGGACGTGGATCTGCAATGGAGCGTCGATCCTGTGAGAGCTGCTGACCGTGTGTGTGTGTGTGTGTGTGTGTTAGTGAGCTAATATTACAGACAATAATGAAAGGAGATTAGCCATTAGGCATAGACACAGCTCAGAATATCTTGGTAATTAGTCGGTTTTTTCTAAGGGACTGTGGCTATTTTCCTTTTATGATATAATCAGGTAGCATTACTGAATGTGTTATTAATTATTTTAAAAAATCAATGGTTACACAATTTGCTGGCAGACAGCAGGCTGATTAAAGGCCTATTTTGATTGTCATTTTATAAATTGTCCTTTTGTTGGTTACAACGAGAGAGGCAATCATGTCTAAAAATAAGAGCAGCGAGTCAGTGAAGGTGGTAGTTCGATGCCGGCCCTTGAACCGGAGAGAGGAGTCCAATGGGCCTGCAGGCAGCATCGTGAAGATGGACATCCGGCTCGGACAGGTGATCCTCAGAAACCCTCGAGCCACAGCCAGCGAGCCCCAGAAAACATTCACATTCGATGCAGTTTATGATGCAAACTCCAAACAGCGAGATCTGTACGACGAGAGCGTGAGACCTCTGATAGATTCGGTTCTCGCAGGGTTCAATGGCACAATATTTGCGTACGGACAAACCGGAACTGGGAAGACGTACACCATGATGGGGGCGTGGATGGACCCCGAGAAACGTGGCGTGATCCCCAACGCTTTTGATCACATCTTCACACACATCTCCCGCGCACAGTCTGATAGGCAGTACCTGGTGCGGGCGTCCTACCTCGAGATCTACCTGGAGGAGGTTCGGGATCTCCTGGATCCGAACCACGGGAATGCCAGAGCCCTGGAGCTCCGGGAGAATCCGGACTCTGGGGTTTACGTTAGTGACCTCACATCGTGTGTCTGCAAGAGCATCAAGGAGATCGAGGAGGTGATGAACGTGGGCAACCAGGCGAGGGCGGTTGGGGCGACGGACATGAACGAACACTCGTCCCGATCCCACGCTCTGTTCCTGATTACAGTAGAGTGCAGCCAGCCTGGACCAGATGGGAGGAAGCACATCCGGGTGGGACGCCTCAATCTGGTGGATCTGGCTGGAAGTGAGCGTCAAGCGAAGACAGGCGTCCAGGGTGAGCGCCTGAAGGAGGCCGCCAAGATCAACCTGTCCTTGTCGGCGCTGGGGAACGTGATCTCAGCGCTGGCCGATGGGCGCAGCAGCCACGTCCCGTACCGAGACTCCAAGCTGACCCGGCTTTTGCAGGACTCTTTAGGCGGGAACGCAAAAACTGTCATGGTCGCCACTTTGGGCCCGTCCCCGCAGCACTACGACGAGACCCTCACCACTTTACGTTATGCCAACAGGGCCAAGAACATCCAGAACCAGCCCAGAGTCAACGAGGATCCAAAGGACGCTCTACTGCGAGAGTTCCAGATGGAGATCGCTCGTCTCCGGGCTCAGCTTCATCACAGGAAGTGGAGGAGCAAACAGAAGAAGGAGCAGGTGGACGGAGAGGACTGGGAAGGAGATGGGGATGAGGAGACGGATGGCGAGGAGGAAAAGGCGGTGGAGGAGTACGTGAAGCTGGAGGAGCAAAGACTGGAAAGGGAGAAACAGGACATCAGAGAAGATCAGTTCATGTTGGCTGATGAGAAGCAGAGGCTCCTGGGAGAGAAGGAGAGGATGATGGGAGATCTGAGGAAGGAGCAGGAGGCCACAGAGCAACTCACCGCCAAGTACAAGGTGAGAGGCAGTGTTTTATTTCTTTAACCAATCAAATGAACAGCCCAAGTCATACATAACACTCTAAGTGCTGAATATAAGAGACCTTCAATACTTTTGCAGTCATAGGGTTGCTTTGAAAAAACATGCACAGATTTGGATTTCATGGAAACATCATTTAGGACAAAACAAGATGCCAAACAATGACTACTATAGTGCATTACTCTGATTTCACGTGGAGGCCATTTACAACCACCATCACATCAAGTATTTATGACAACCTGAATGTCACTGAAGGTTGTTAAAGAGCAAAAAGAGCAACTTACAGATCAATATTCCCAATGAACACACTCATGTCTCGTCTTTCTATCTCTTTTACACACACACACACACACACACACACACACACACACACACACACACACACACACACACACACACACACACACACACACACACACACGCCATGGCATCAGGTCTGTGGTGATATGTGATGAGCTGTTTTTAAGGGACTGTAAATCTGTGCTCTCCATATCTAGACTGTGTGTGTGACGTGTGTATATGTTATCACTGACAAGGAAACTGATGCTTATTAACAAGGGACTCATATGATCACATGACATTTGTGTTTGGTGATATATAAATATATATGTGGTTCCACTGACGGGTGGCGGTTGCCCTTTCTCTACAGTTGTCTGATGTCTCATATATTCAGACAGGAACTGATGACCAATGTAGCTTATAATGTCAGTGCTGAATATTCCATATGACTGAGCTGAATTAATTACGCCTCTGATTCACGGCCATAATAAGTCAATAAGTCAGCCATGCAGAATGACTGAGTGAACACAGTCGAAAATACTGCAGCTGCAGCCGTTACCATCCGACATGAATCACTACTGGATCATTTTACTGAGCTGCACCGGTCATAAAGGGAGGAAATGAGAGGAGGGAAAAGTTATCTATAGAACGAGAATAAGAGACGGGAAAGTTGAGGTTGTTTGTAATAACAATACTTACTAGTATCCCTTTTTTCTCTTATAAATTCTGTGTTATTTAGGAAAAATAAAATGTTGTTCTTTACGTTTTACTACCTATCACTCAACCTAGCAGTGTCTACTCCAAATGCTGAGGTGTGATGGTAATAAAACGCCTGTGTAGGTGGTGCTGTAAAAACAGGAAGAGATGACCCACTTAAACCCATGTCACAGCATGCATGGTGACTGCATTACACTGTGATATAGTAGATAACATTGTCCTGTTTGCCATTGTTTTTAATAGAATAATGTACACTGCAGCAAACACTCTAAAGGTCTCAAATCTGTCAAATTGGCAACAATATTGCTAATGTAAGCAGCACTCTTGCCATCCTATAGTACACTAATTCTCAAGGTTCGTAAGCTATATTTCGTTTCAGCCTCATCTTCCTTCTGAGTGAAGGTATGAGGTGTGGGAAAGTCCCATGAGACGGAGCTAATGTATGGCCTGATGCCGTGCCCTTCACACTGAGTGCTTTCATGTACGAATGTGTGCAAGGCTTCTCGTATTTCCTCCCATCACGTTGTCTTCTAAAGCGCTGTCGGGCTAATGCAGTTTTGTGCAGAATCGTATAAAATCTACTATGAACACACAGCAGTTCAGACGAGTTTTGCCTCTGTGTGTTTGATGCTGACTGTGTGAGCGCTGAGAATCATCTGTGCCCAGAAGAGGAAGATGATTAAAGACGTGAAGTATTTCCTGCCTATGATGCATCGGTCTGTTTGTGTAGAAAGAAAACCTGCAAACGTCTGGCAATATTCTGTTTATTCCATTCATCCATCTTCTCCCGCTTATCTGTGGTCGGGTCGCGGGGGTAGCAGTTCCAGAGCCCCAAACGTTCCTTTCCCTGGCGACATCAACCAGCTCTGACTGGGGGATCCCAAGGCGCTCCCAGGCCAGCGAAGAGATATAATCCCTCCACCTGGTCCTAGGTCTACTCCTTGGTCTCTTCCCAGCTGGACGTGCCTTACTAGGTGCCCGAACCACCTCAACTGGCTCCTTTCGACGCAAAGTCGTAAAATTGTCATAAAATCTCATGAAAAAACATCTACAAGGTGACATGTTCCTTCATTACGATACACAAACACTATAGGTTATTTTAAGTCAATTCCACATATATCATCCTGCAGCCCCAAATACTCACTAGATTAATACGCAGCTGAAAGTCCCTAGAAAACGTATACTTTTGTTAGCTAGAAACTACGGTACACTGCTGTTCAACGATATGACCTAGTATTACGTTTGAAAACATGTATTTGTGAAGTACATTTGAAAGTCTTTCACTTACAGTAGTAATGAATGAGTGTCAGGGTCAGTGCCACAGACAGAGTAGGGAACTCTGAAATTATTGAGAGATGTTCATGTTTTAGGATTTGATGGTTTTATGGAATTTACTGGGAAAAAGTGTTGTAATTAGAGCAAAACATGGCAGTTGTTTGCCAGCATTTCACCATAATATATACTGTAGAACTTTTTCTACAAACAGTATACGGACATTAAAACTGAAACTGAGTTTACGGTAAAAGGTGGAGTTTGATTCCATATTTTACCGTTAAAAGAAAAGCTGTTTTGTCAGATGATTAACATTAAAATAGTTGAACTCTAAAGCTAGAAAACAATTTTTTACTGTGTACACTGTGGGAATAAACACACCAACTAGCCACGTGTCACATGTTTGGGTCACAGATCAGTTGTATATGATTAGGACGTCGACAAAGAACCCTTTATGTCTATTTGAGGTTTTTACCTCAGTGCTGTCGCCGCAATTCATGCTCACAACTTAAGGTTATCCTTGTTTTTTTTAAAGGAAAATCCACCCTATTATCCCGTATAGACAGCGTTTAAAAAGAGGTTGGATATTTATTTTTTTATTTCAAAATATATAATCATATGATATATTCAAAAATGTGCCACATAAAACATGCACTTCATCATTAACTTCTAATTAGTACCCATGACTTCACTGTGATCCCACCACAGTCTGATCAATCAGCTCCAGCCTATCTTTCCTCTGATTGGCTGAGCTTGGTATCAGCCAACCAATCACAGCCTGGTGGCCTGAAGGTTCCATTTTTCTCTCTAGGGCTCTGTTCTCTCTGCTCTGTTAACCAATGAGAAAGAGGTTGCTAGGCAGAGACAGATTGAGAGTATGGCTGGAAAAATTAGCTCAGAAATGACCAATTATAGATAGAAATCGACTCCCTTTCCCTCCCTTTCTCTCCCCCTCACGTACTTCACACAACAGATGTAAGTAGGTCAGGTTCCAGCCTTGTGAATCAGTGTAGGGTCAGCTGGTGTTTCTGCAGGGTGCTGCGAGCTAACTGGCTCCAAGGTGCAGCGCTCCATCTGTGGACTGTGTTTCGTTATGTTGGTGCAACTGTTGTTCAGCTGTTGTTGCTCTGCTGGAGGTCCACCAGCTTTAATGTACACATAGCGGTGGAAGGAAAAGTATACAGAGCTTTTCGCTTGAACCCTTGTGTTGTGTTCGAAAGCTGTTACCGTTCATGGTGTTCGCGGGTACATTTTGACCCATAATTTATTTCAGTCCAAAACGCATTAAAAAAATTATTATCATCCAATATTGTTTTAACTACATCATAACTAACTTATTATGCATTAATAACCGTACAATCCTGTTGTAATTGTATTCTATGGCCCCAAAACACATTACACCACATATTGCACACGTGCAGTTCAAGTGTTAGTGCACATATTCTTTGAGAAAGGTCGAGTTCCCGTGGGGGGAGGGGGGCAGAGGGAGGGGAGACCAGGTGCATGTTGCGAACAATTATTGTTACAGTTGATGAAGGGGGAGGGGTGTCTAAAGTCAAAGATGAATCTTGATTGGGCCAAATTTGACCCCGAGTGACCCAAAACAATTCTGCCGGGTCTCCCCAGACCCCAACACCAAATTATACACTTTTTTTTTTAGAGACCTTCAGACTTGGCTAGAATTGTCCAAATCTGTTTTGTAGTGTTTATATAGCTGCTGTGGAGGATATCATGAAGCCTTGTTCAGATACACAAAACTAAAGCGTAGTTATTATATCATTTTAACTTGAAACGGGTCACGGGAGACCCGAACACAACATAAGGGTAAATAAAAGTACTAACACTGTAACAGAACTGTTTTACAAGTTGCCTAGAAGTCTTGAATTGAACACCATTGCAAGGATGAAAGTATAATCAGGAGAATGTCATGCACTAATGTCGAATCAGGATTTTCGAGGGTTTGGCAAAAACATTGTGTTCATTTGCACCATTTTTTTAAAGTGCAACTAATGATTTCCTAACTCTTTTATTTATTTTGAACATGTAACAATTATTTCAAGTTAAAAAAAGAACAACATTTAATAAAACAGTATGGCACACTTTTGATAGACACATTATCGTAATCAAAATAAATAAACACTTGTATTACATTTTCCAAATGTACTAATTATTTTATATATTTTAACTAATTATATGAATAGATTAGTCTGCTCTTTTACAAGTATTAGTTTCATATAGCTTCCAGCAGTAAATGCAACATACTTAGAAATAAGAAAAATGTGCACTTTTTATAAAAATGTGAATTTATTGAGGTAAATATTCAATTGTCAGCTTTTACTGGCATTCATTTAACATTAGTTATTGCTTTGCTTTCACAACATAACTTGTTGTTTCCTGTCAGTATTTATAGGGTGCATAGTGGGGCGGTGGTGGCGAAGTCGATAGGGACTTGGCTTGGCAACTGGAAGGTCACCAGTTTAAGTCCCGGCAAGACCAGAGGTGTCCCTGAGCAAGGCACCGTGAGCAAGGCACCGTGAGCAAGGCACCGTTCCCTACACTGCTCCCCGGGCGCCGTTCAAAATGGCAGCACACTGCTCCTAACACAGGATGGGTCAAATGCAGAGAAACAATTTCCCCATGGGGATTAATAAAGTATATCAATATCAAATAGGAACATTGATGCCATTTTAGATGTCCCAATATCACTTTTA